GTGTGCTGCGTTAGGAGAATTGTTTAAAAAGGTCGTGTCAATAAAAAAAAGTGTAGTTTGATTGCTCGAGGACGAGCAATGGTGTAAGTGTGGGGTGTTGATGATAGGCTATAATTACGTATTTTAGTCGCTTATTACACTCTAATTTACTGCACTTTAGTTGAGTTTGCGCTTTAATCTCTAGTGTTTTGCACTAATTGTGTGTTTTATGCCTTGTAGGTGTAATTCGGAGCTATATAGATGCTATGGAATAAATTTAAGTGATTTGAAGCTTTGAAGTCTGAGTAAAAGCTCAAGGAATTAAGCCGGGATCGTGTTCGGGGGTCAAATTTGATAGTTGAGAACAAACGAAGACTCGATGAGGCATATTGCGCACTGTCTAGTAAAATGCACATAACTTTTTTCTCACAACTCTATTTGGGCTCCACAATATATTGTTGGAAAGCTAACTCAAAGGTATACAACTTTCATGTTTTACGTTTTCCAAATTCCAAACAGAACAGGGTGAAAAACCGCAGTTACGGTAGGACCGCGACAGAACACTGCTGCAGATTCTGAAAGCCATTCTGGCTGCGGTCCTGGCGTAACCGCGGTGGGACCGCGGCAGGACGCGTAAATTTCAGGGACTAAAGTGCAAAACACGGGATTTTAAGCCCTAAACCCTATATTAAACGAGGGAGGCCGGCCAAGAGCGAAAGAGAATGATTTTTGGAAGTGAAAAACATCAGAAGGAAGGGCAAGAAGCAAGGAGCATCATTGGGCATCAATCTTTAATCTTCTTCCTTGTTCTTTTACCTTTGAATATGAATTCTTTTGTGATTTTTGTTATTTTCATGAGTAGCTAACTTTTCTAATCTAAGTTTTTGGTGAAACCCGTTGGGGATGAATTGGTTGTTATAAGTAATATAGATTTGAATTAGTTTAATCTCTATTTGTTCAACTATGTTTTGATTGTGGTTAATTGAAAGGATCCTCAATTAGCCGTTCCTATTTATTATGTATCTGCTTGAGAGAGAGTGCATATTTAGGTAGTTGTTTGAACAACATCACTCCCGGAGTATAGGCGAGAGTCATAACCGATGGTTTAGAGGTTGGATTAGAGATAACGATACCTCGGGTGCGATCTAAGTGAACTGTAATGCGAATCTAGCTAGCGTAGCTTGAGAGAGTGTGTCTAGTAAATTATCACAATTGCTTGAGAGAGATTTATGATAGCTGGCGAGTTCATGATTGATTGAGGCAACTAAGTCAACGCTATAAGAAACATACAACCAAGGAAATCAACAACGGGGGAAACCATTACCTTAGACCTTTATTCTAATTGTTTACAATTCAAGCATAGTTAGTTTTCAGCTGTTTATTTATTTTCAATCTTGTCTTCTTGGTGATATTAAACAGATACAGCTAAGCCTTAGTTCTTTGTGGGATTCGACTCCGGACTTTTAGACCGGATTATATTTGCAGCGACCGCTTATCCTTTTTAGGACTAGAGTTGGGCGTGATCATTCTTTCACCATTATTTGTTTAGATCTGTACTATGTCTATGCTTTTATTGACATTTTGAGTGTTTTCCCCAAAAGTTTTTGTCAAAATCGTTTCTCTCCGATTTTTAGGGTTTCTGCAAGGATTTTTGAAAAATCTTTCTGATATTTTTCTTCTTTACTTTATGTGTGTTTGTTTATACCTTGCTCGTATGATTTCCTTTATTTTTATGATATATGGTCTTTTACCCTTTACTTTTCTCATGTTAATTTCTACTATGTTTTCATTACTCTTCTACTATATGTACCTACCGTTAAAGTTATTTTTGACTATGCTCATGTTCCTACATGCTTCATCTGCTTGTGTTCAAGTTTGCACTATCTCTTTCTTTCTGAACTCGTTTATGTTCTGAGTTTCTCGAATATGTTCTTCATGATTTTTTCTTTCCTTTGTTGTTCAAGCATGCTGTCATGACTGTTTTGTTGAGGCACTGAAAAACAAACAACCTGCTTTCCCACTTCATGTCTGATTCAATTTTGCAACCCTAGGGTTTTGGGGTTTCCTTTGACGATGTGGATTTTTGTGTTCGAGTTAAGGCTCCACTTGGGAACCCTGAACTCTCAGACTCACTAGGAGTCTGCAAATTGAACATGTATCTCTTTGCTTATGATTCTGAACTTCTCCTCGAATGAACTCTGTTCTAAATAATTTGACTTTCTCTTCTTGATTCACATGATTGTGAGTTTTATATATAAGAACTCTTCTTTCAAAAAGGTTTTGACAGCTACTTGATTGTTCTTGGACTCCTTTGATGGGGTCTCGACTGATTGCCACTGATTTTCTTTGTTTGAGCCCTCCTCTACCTATTCCTGACTGGGTCCATTAGAATTAAACCTGTTTACTTTGATTTTTATTAGTTGTCTTCCCGAATGTCGTAAACCCGATTTCGCGAGAAAAAGGGGGGTCGACAGTCGTTGCCCTTCACCCTAGTTGTAAATGCAGTTACATAAACTCGTGGATCGGTTGTCCCATCATACTTTGAGATATTGGGCATCTTGAACTTTTTTGGAATAGGCAAAGGAGCGGCACTTGGCTTCCAGGGTTGTTGAGAATATTTATCCATATTCACTCCTTTGATTATATGTGGAACACCAGGTATCTGCTCTATACGATCGTTTTGCTCCTTGAGTTGTTTCTGCAAAGTTAGTACTAAACTTTGTAAATCAGAATTAACTGGGATACCTAACCCTCCATCGCGAGATTCGCTAGGAGTTCCCCCGTTGCCCGAATTAGCGAGTCCTGAACGTGGATTCTCTATGGTTGCAGTGTTGTTTGGAGGCGGAGTTGGTGGTACAGTTGGTAATCCGCTAACGAAAGCTTGAAGAACATTGTTCACATGTTCTGAAATTAGTTGCTAATGCATCATCTACATTTTGATCATCCCCTTGTTGATTATTCACACGTGATGTTGATCTGTCAAGTGAGTTGTCTCGGGAGTGTCGAGGAGAATTTTGAGGTGAAGGGATTGGGGTGGCATTCTTTTGTTGGTTCAGTTGATCTTGCTGGTTTTGTAGGTTTTGTTAGTTATTGTCGTTAGCGTTTGACATGATTTTTTGACAGAAAAATGAATTTGGAAAGTTAAAAGATTATCAGTTTTCCGGTAACGTAACCAATTTGTTTAACCAAAAAATAGGAATTGCGGCTAAAGTCTATTTTTTAGAAGTACTCTGGTTACTGATAATCAAGAAAATTAATATTCTTGCTGTAAGAAAGGAAATTAGGTGTATGAAATAGCAAAATAATCAATAGAAAGCAAAAGTAAATAATTGTATTCCAATGATAATCAGAACGTGTATGTACAAATGATATCTCTTTCCTTTTTATAGGAATCTACGAGTACAACGTCTTTCCCCTTTTATGACCGAATCATTATGAGCATTAATGACATTAATGAGACGTTATAATTGGTAATCGTAACTGATCATAAAGATTTTGTAACGTTTGAGATCATTCACGCTCATTAATGGCTGATTCACGAATCTTTCCTTTTTACTGTCTTGATTCATTCCGCCGGTACTTCTTAATGTAACTGTTTAAACTTGAACGACCATATCTTCCCTTCTCGTGGGTGATTTGCTCCTGTCTGTTACAACTCGTGCCTCTTTTAATGCATTTCTCCCGCTGTCGGTTTCTCAATGATCCACGTGTCTTGTCTTATCAGCCATTCATATAAATCCACGTGTAATATTTGTTTTTACCAATGCAATCACCTCCACCACCGTTGCCGGCGTCAACTAGAACGACGGCTTTTTCGGCGACCTTGCTTGCTATATTTTGCTTCCTGTATTTCTCAAACCTAGCCGGCTCAAATCTCGCAGAATTTGAGTGTATTATGTATTTTTTAATGTAAATACAATTTATTTTTTATATTTATGTATTCGGATTTTGTGTGATCCCTGTATTTTTTGAATTTTTGTTGTTTGAATACAACTGAATTAAATATAGTAAATTGAATACAATGCAAAAGTAGCTATGAACGAATATAGTAAATTGAATACATCCGATATCCATGTATTTTTCTTTTGTTGTTGTTTAAATGCAATGAAATTAAATACAATGTAAAATAGCTAAGAATGAGTATAGCCGAATATTGAATACACTATATTTCTTATTTTTCGTTGTTTGAACAATACATTAAAATTGAATACAATGTAAAATATTATAGAACAAATACTAACCAATTGAATACAATATAAAATATATAAGAATAGAATATATTCAAATTAAATATAATATATAACCGAATTGAATAAACAATTAATAGCTATGAAATATAATTAGCTAAATTATAGCTACCCTTTGCAATAATAGCCCGTTTGGCCAAGCTTGTAAAATCAGTTTATCTTGAGATGTGCTTTTCTCAAAAGTACTTTCTAAAAAAGTGCTTTTGGTGAGAAATAGTTTGTGTTTAGCTAATTAATACTTTTGAGCAATAATTAGCAGGCGTTTGGACATAAGAATTGTAAAATTTCAAAAAATGGTGAAATTTTTTTTCAAGTGAAAATGGTATTTGAAATTTAGAGTTGTGTTTGGACATAAATTTTAGTTAGTGTTGTTTTTGAAGTTCTGTGAGTGATTTGAATAAAATTTTTGAAAAATAGCCTTTTGGACTTTTTCAAATTTTCGAAAATTTCCAAAATGCATCTTCAAGTGAAAATTGAATATTTTATGAACAAATGCTTATTTCGAAAAAAAGTGAAATTTTTTTGGAAAGAAGGAAAATTTTTTTATGTCCAAACGGGCTCTTAGTGTTTGGCCAAACTTCTGAAAACTGCTTCTAAGGGTATTTTTCTCAAAAATGTTTCTCAGAAAAATATTTTTCGGAGTGAAGCTACTTTTTTCTTTTCTGTGTCTCCAAAATTGCTTCTACTTCTATTCAAAAACACTTTTTCTCCTTGCAAAAGGTTGGCCAAACAATTCAACTTTTGGCAAAGCCCAAAAAAATAAAAATAAAAAATTGGCCAAAAAAGTTAGTATCTCGCAGTTCCTTGTTTCCTACTCCATTCTCGGTCTCTCTCTCCCAGCTCTCATTAGTCTCTTCCAGTCCCATCAATGGCAACACCAATGGTTCTCGATCCAACACCCGCTGCGGAGCCACCGGCAACTCGGCCGTACTCCTCCGTACACGACGTTACCTCCGACGGCGGCGAAGATGACCTCTATGGCCGCCTCAAATCTCTTCAACGACAGCTCGAGTTCATTGACATTCAAGAAGAATACGTGAAGGACGAGCTTAAGAATCTCAGGCGCGAAAACCTACGAGCTCAGGAAGAGGTCAAGCGGATCCAATCGGTGCCGCTCGTAATCGGCCAGTTCATGGAGATGATTGACCAGAATAACGCCATAGTCGGTTCCACTACTGGTTCCAATTACTACGTCAGGATACTCAGTACGATTAATCGGGAGCTCCTTAAACCCTCGGCTTCTGTTGCTTTGCACCGCCACTCGAATGCCCTTGTCGATGTTTTACCTCCTGAGGCAGATTCCAGTATTTCGCTGCTTAGCCAATCGGAGAAGCCTGACGTTACTTACACTGTAAGTCTTTGGTTCCTGAATGTTGCAGTTAGGCTTTTTACCGTAATATGTTGAGTATGGTTCTTATGTCAATCTTTTGATTAATTTTTTTGTATCTTTGATAATGATAGTTCTTAATAGTACTTATTGTTGTATCCATTCGTGAAAATTTAGGGCTGTTATTCATGATTGGACCTAGAGTTTTATAATTTAAATATATAGTTTCTGGGATGCGCTAGGGTTTGCTATGTCGAGAATAGGAGTTGCCGATTTAGGCATGAATTGAGACTAGCTACAAACTCTTTGCATTGCAATCATAGTTTTAAAACTTCAAATATGAATTAGGTTTAGATAAGGGGTTATAGCCTCAGCCCTTAAATAGTTATAGGGAAGTATTTATTAGCTGCCTAAAAATTAGATACTTAGCTTTTCAACCTCGAACATCCTAGAGTGTGATGTTACATTGTTGATTGTTGCAGATAAAAGAAGAGATTGAAGTTGATTTTCAAATAATGTCAAAAAGCATATCAACACATGTTATTGTTGCAGATTAAAGAAGAGATTGAAAGTTGATTTTCAAATAATGTCAAAAAGCATATCAACTCATTTTATTATGAATTTCATTAAATTACGAGCAACCAACTTTCACTATCAGTGAGAGCAATTATATATGCAACTATTGGTTGTGACCACAATGCATGTGGTTCTGGGGCAATCATAGTATCCTAATCCAGTATTGTCCTTCGGATTTTGTAGAATTCTATTTATTGCTTGCTCCAAAAGGCAAAATGGCCTTTCAAGAGAAATTTGCGACCACTAAAAGTTGCAAAACAAACTAAAGTCTAAGAATAAATATTCATCATGTACCCAAGGATGTGGCCTAGTGGTCCATCAAATGGGTTGAGAACCATGAGGTCTCAGTTCAAATTCCAGCGGAGGAAAAAGCATTAGGTGATTTCTTCCCATCCGTCCAAGTCTTGGTAGACAGAACCCGCTACTTGCGCTGGTGGGAGGTAGCAGGTAGCAGGTATCCTTTGGAATTAGTCAAGGTGCGTGCAAGCTGGTTCGGACACCACAATTAGCATTAAAAAAAGTAGATATATGTAACTTGACAATTAACTGGAGTTTTCCATGAGTACTTACAAGGCCAGACTCTGTTGCCTTTCATTATTGTAGAATCTTTTTTCCAGCAATCACCAGTCATTCAGTTTAGCATCATATTGTCCATAGTGTATCATAACATTTACTCTTATCTTTTTATAAAATTTTGTAAAATAAATTGTGGCCGCTAAACAAGATTTTTCCACTGGCCTCAACTTGCAAGACACTGTAGATAGTTAACTATTATTAGGAGTTGCGTGGAAGTGACATGTGAAACATTGCATCACGTAGACATGTACTAACAATTTATTGATTCACATGTAAATAGCATGTAGGTGATTGGAAGGGAACTTGGAAATTTAACTGACACAAAAAGGAACTGTGTCATTTAGATTCACTTTTCCTTATTAGCAGGGAAGATGAATGTGGAGGGCACAATTCTTAACATTTCTCCAGTTTTGTGCTTAAGACCGAAAAAGACTACTACTGTTAGACGGAAAATATTGTTCTAAGCTTAGAATGCTTATTAGGACAACTATGTGGCCTTTTGGTTTAGTAATGGAACCTTACATATGCACATGTACATGTAACATGTGTCTGGCTACTATATTGGAAGTAAACTTCTGGTTTAATCCAGTTCCTGTTATTAGTTTTTATTTATTTCCTTACTTTTTACACACATTTTCCCTGAAACCAGGATATTGGAGGATGTGACATTCAGAAGCAGGAAATCCGTGAAGCTGTTGAGTTACCTCTGACCCATCATGACTTGTACAAGCAGATTGGTATAGATCCACCCCGTGGTGTTTTGCTGTATGGTCCACCAGGTACTGGAAAAACTATGCTTGCAAAGGCTGTTGCGCATCACACGACTGCATCCTTCATAAGGGTTGTTGGCTCGGAATTTGTTCAGAAGTACTTGGGTGAGGTAAGCATTGAAATATTGAAATGCCCTGAGCCTTGATATTTTATGTGTTAATCTGTTGTTATCACCTATTACTCATGACTGTTGAACTCTTCCAGTTACATCCATTCAAACAAAAACTTGGCATTTAAAGTCTTTCCGGTTCTGTCTCATAAAGGGTGATTAGGAAGAAAAGCAACTTTTTTTGCGTGAGAGGTCCCATTTTCCTTTTAAATGACATAAGCAGTAGCTAATGCAAGAGCGACAGAAATACTCCTACTATGGTCTTGTTTAGGCAAATAACACTGTTGCCCTGGGAACACGTTTAAAAGGTTAGAGTCATGTTTGGAGCTCACACATGAGTTTTTGAACTGTTTGGCTACCTAAGGTTGTTTTGTGTTTTAGGCCAGTGAACCATGATTTGTTTCGGAAGAAGCGGACTCCAAGTAATCATTCTTAATGTTTAGAACTTAGTTATAAAGTATGATAACACGAGAATAACTTAATCTTAGCTACACTGGTAGAATTAGGTCTACTGAAGTAAAGGATGCAAAGCAATGGGGAATGTGATAGTTAGAAAAACTTCTTGTTCAAAAACTATTCTTATCGAGGTTTGGAAGTATTTTGAAAAGGTTGCGTTAGATGACTAATCAAGGTAATTCAATATTATATTAAGGAGAAGAAAGATGCTGAATGAGTGGAGAAACGATACCCTTCTTTCAATAAATAAGAACAAAGTTGTGCGAATTATCGTTGTACTAATCTTATGAGCCGTACGGCGAAATTTGTGAAAGAGTGTTAGAGCATAAACTTTGGGACATTCCAAGTGTGATAGAGAACCATTTTGGATTTATGCCTGGTTGATCTACAATAGAGTTTTTTTTTTCTTGCAAATAAAACTAATGAAAGTTTATAGTGAAAGAAATGCAGATTCCCACGTGATACTCGTTGGTTTAGAGAAAGCATATGACATAGTATTAAGGGAAGTCTTTATCAAAAAGTTATGTTGAAGAAAAGTCTTTTTGTGAGTGCTCAAGAGGAAAGGAATCTATATCTATCTATATCTATATTATTATAAAAGCACGAATACTAGAATGCTAAATATTGAGTGACAAAAATATCCCCATAAATATTGATAGACTTTTATGCCCTTTGGAAACTAAATTTTTTATGAAGCAATGTAACGTTGGATATAATTGTAGTATTGAATATAATTCTTTTTTAACTCAACTTAAATCGCCGCCGCATGCTATAGAGGATAGATTTCTAATTTGTTTAGGACATCAACAACTCCTCGCGAATTTGTATTGTACAAGATAGAATCATAGAATCCTAATTCTTTTGTCTAAAGACTTCAAGTCAAAGTTTAGGGTAAAAGTTAACCTCAATTATAAGTCCTACTGGATAAAGAGTAATTATTCGTCCATCCTAGACACCAGTATATATATGTAAGGATGAGATTATGTATATTGAAGATCAACTGGTTCAAGAATTCATAATAGTTGCTGGCATAGCAGATTCCAAATATTTTTGAGTCTACTAAACTATATATATATATATATATATATATATATATATATATATATATATATATATATATATATCAAGTAGATTTTTGCATAGTATCCATGTCAATTGCTTTACAAGTAATCTTTCTTCTTATATATACATTTTAATTGTTAACTTTTTATTCTTTCATATATTTAAATGACTAAAAATTTACGTGCAAAGCACGTATGTAGAAACTAGTTTATAAAAATATATAAAAATGCAATGAAGGATATTACAGGGAACAATCATTAGTGCAAGAGTGCGAGAATACAAGGATGATATATAGAGAAGTTCCCAATAACTGTGGGTTTACGCTTATTATCTGCTTTGACCTGTACTGTATATCCTGATTATTGACGAACTAACCAATACAAGATAAAGTGTTTGTTGTGTGTTATTTTCAAGTAATACTGTGTTAATGAAATAAATAGCAAATGAGTTGAACAAAAGCAGGAATTATGGAGCCACCCTAGAGAGCAATGGTTTCCGAAGAACTAGAAGTTAGCTTGAATTTATCACTATAGGTTTAGCCCATAAAATGAATAAAAGTGAAGTGAGAGAAATGCAGATTACCACATGATACTCACTGGTTTAGAGAAAGTGTGTGACATAGTGTTAAGGAAAGTCTTTATCAGAAAATTATGTTGAAGAAAAGTCCTTTTGTGTGTGCTCAAGAAAAGAGGAAAGGAATTCGCATAAAATATGTAATGCAATGAAGGATATTATGGAGAACAATCATCAGTGTGAGAGCGAGAATACATGGATGATATATAGAGAAGTTCCCCATTATGTATCCTGATTATTGACAAACCAACCAATATCATACAAGATAAGGTTGTTATTGTGTGTTATTTTAAAAGAATATTGTGTTAATGAACTAGCAAAGAACGAGCAAAAGTAGGAATCATGGAGACACTCTTTAGAATAACGATTGTTGAAGAACTAGAAGTTAGAATTTATCACCGTAGGTTTAGCACATAAGAAGAATAAAAGTGCAGTGAGATTCTATAGGAGTATGATGTCTAAATGCAAACAATGCAAATATCTAGACCCAGTGGTCTAGGAGAATGGAAGTGTGACGACTGAATGCAGAAGTGTAGTGGGATTGTTACATGAGAAGAAGATACTTAAAAAAGTGAAAGTCTGAAAGACAAGTTTTATAGAGTGGTGGTGAGGCCAAAGAGAGCATATTGGTTTTGCCATGTCCTCTGTGGATCTTAGCACACACTATTGATAGATGCGGCATAATGATGATTGAAGGTAGAAAAGATGGACGGGATAAAAATCACATTGAGGATAGTTACTTCAAAAGACCTACAATCTCTCGAAAGCACATGGACATAGCTAAGAGTAGAAGACAATATAAGCAAAGGATCGAAATAGGTGATAACAACTGTTAGACTAAGGTTTAGTTGTTTCTGATGAACTAAGAAATATTCATTAATGGCATCAAGCAGACGCAAAAAGAAAAGAACAAAAGGATGATGAGTACAAAAGAAAGTCTTAGCTCCAATGCAGGCTAGCTAAGGTAATTCCAAGGATCTAGAAAATTCAAAAAAGCTCAGGTGAAATTACGGGGGAGAGAATTGCACCAACTACTTAGTAACAAAAAGCATTTGAGCAAAGGTGTAGTTGATGAAGTGACATTAATTTTTCGAGAATTGCCCAAGTTTTCTTTGTTTTTGTAAGATACTTGTACTCCAGTTTGAGGATTAGTGTGTGATTGATAGAAATTTCTAGTTCTAGAGATTTTATTATTCACTATTGGCATGAAATATGGTCGAATAGAGGATAAAGATTACAAAGATTAAATGTTGTCAACCACAACTAATTTGGGATTGAGGTATAGTTAATTAATTTACAGATTTATTTTCATCAAAAAAATTAATTTACAGATTTATTATTTACTATTGGCGTGAATTATGGCCGAATTGAGCATAAAGATTTTGGAGAATAAATGTTGTCGACCACAATTAATTTGGGATTGAGGTAGTTTGTTAATATTCCAAGGAATGTATTAGACGCTAACAACTTGTAATTATGTAGCACTTTATCCGTTTCAATTTATGTGTCTTACTAGCTTTAGTGTACGCGCGTCGTATGTGTTTTTTTGTGTCTATTAATAAAATGTGTATAAAATTTAGAATAAGAATGAATTATGTGTATTTAACAATTGACGTCGAGATAAATAATGCAACATTCTTTTAAATTTAAAAATAAATATTACATTGACAAAATAGTTAAATGCAGAGTTATTGAAATCTACTTTTAGATGGTAAAAAAGGCGAACGACATTATGCGTGTACATATATTGATAATCATTAAATTTTTAATACTATATAAACATTACTCCCTCAGGTTCACAATAAGTGTCCAATTTGCTTTTTCATTTTGGTTCAAAATAAGTGTCCAGTTATGTAATCAAGAAAGAATTCAATTTGTTTTTACAAAATAAACCCTATGTGCATATCCCTAAAAAGTTTTCTTACTCCTCATATTAGATGTTTAATTAGGGGTAGTTTAGTCATAGTAGGTATTTTTGTATGGAATTTAGTATTTTCTTAATGGGCGTGCTAAAAGCAAATTGGACACTTATTGTGAACCGGAGGGAGTACTACATAATGTATATTTGAAATGCAATTGTCGATTGTCTTTTTGAAAGTTTTTCTAAAATTTGATATTAGGTTGTGCATTTATATTTTTATACGTAAAATTCTTTCGATTTAATGGTAGAATTTAATTGGGAATCTTCAACCTTTATATAAACCAAACCTAAACTAATGTAAAACAAATCAAAAATAACTATAGACGTAAGAAACCTAACGAAAATAAATTAATTATGAAGTAAATAAGGAAAAATTTTATTTAAGTAAAGTCTTACTCAGTTTTAAATTCCTAAATATTAGGAGTTTTTACATAGTTCAAATAAGGAAATATTTAATAACCAAAACTTTTGTTGATTTTAAAATAACAAATATTAGGAAAATAAATTAATTACAATTTTGTCCAATGAAAATTCTACTTTTAAGAGGTAAAAAAGGCGAACGACATTTCGCTAAGGGCCTTCGTGCTTTTAATATAGTATAGATTTTTGCTTTTTGATTGTTTAGAAAAGAATATCACATTCGATTTTTAGTAAGTCATTCCCTTGTAGGAATCACATAGTATGTTTAAAGACCACAGAATTCAAAGAGTATTTTGGTATGTTATATACATCTTTATTTTAAGATCACAAGATTCAAAGACTTCTTGCATCCAAGGGTGTGACCTAGTGGTCAATAAAGTGAGAAAAGAACCTTGGTCTCGGGTTCAAATCCCAACAGAGGTCAAAAACACAAAGTGCTTTCTTTCCATCTGCTTAAGCCTTAGTGGATAGAGTTATTTGGTACCTTTGCTGGTGGGAGGTAACAGGTACTCGGTGAAATACTCAAGGTGTGCGCAAGCTACTAACTCAGATGCCACCATCATAAAAG